GTTATCCAACGAAAAGTGTCATTATGAGCGGAACGTGAGCAGTCTGTGTCGCTCTTTATTCTCCCGGTGAACGTCGCTCTCGTTCATTTATTCAAAACTGATCAGTTCACTGAAAATATGAATGTATTCAGTGAACGCCGTTCATCTGAGGTTCTATTGGTTCTATTGTGGCTTAATTTACCGAATTAACTTCAACTAGTTCATTTATAGGTTTATGAACTTAGTTCATTTATTGAAAAATTAAACTATGAGCGTGAGCTAGCTCATTTTCATCTGTGTGAACTGAACTGATCTGGCACAACATTGGTTATGGTAAATATACACAGAAAGGCTACATTTAGTAAAAAAAAATGAGCAAAAAAAAGCTTAGAATATAAAAAAAGTCAAATACTTTGCCAAAAGGACGCCATCATTTGAAATAAAAATGAGTGAGTTAATGGCATAAACTGAAAAAATGTCAATTAATTCAAATATGTAACTTTAAGTTAATTTTCTGCATATGATTCATAAATCATCCATGTGGGGGATGGATAATTTGGATAACAGCTGCAATATATGTAAATAAAAAGGTGGATATATGATTTTAACAGCAGAGATCCTGAACCATCAAACAAATAAATGACAAGGATCGTTACGTAGACGATTTTATTTTCTCTTGGTTCAGTTGGTGATACCGCGAGGCTAATAATATATAACCAAATAATAATATTATACTATTAGGTCATTACCATGAGTACCAGAGCAGCAGAGATGTCCTCCTATAAGCTGAGCTCAGCAGAATCCTCCAGCTGCCACGTTCCTTCTGGAACAGAGAGAAACAGAAAACTGGCATTAATTAGATCTAAAGCCTGCTTAAAATGATCCACACCGGGCAGCTGCTGCAGAGAACACACTTCATTTGGACTGTTTTTACTGGATGCAAACTCCATTTAGAAAAACCCCGGGTGGGGCATCAAACCCAGAACCTTTTTGCAAGGCAGCAGTGCTAACCGCTGCCGCACTGTGCATCCCTAAAAGTCATAACATTATGAGAATATTCTAACATTATAAAATCATTTTATTACCTGAATAAAGTGGTCATATTACAAGGATAAAATCACAACATTATGAGAATAAAGCAATATATTTACGAGAGTAAAGTTGAAAAATGACGAGAATAAAGTCATCATACCACAATCCGTTTCAGAAAGAGAACAGCAACAGCAACCTAATATTTCCTTATTTGTGAACTTTCCACTTTTTGGGAAAGACTTCTTTTAAGAGTTGTCATAACTCTTAAAAGAAATGCCCGCAGCTTTTGGGGGCTGGGGGTTTTCCTCAGGGCCGTCTCTCCTCTTCCCTTTTTGGGGGGGAATCCTGTGTATGTTGGCCCCTCTTGGGCGGCTTTGCTCCGGGGATCCCTTTGGGTGTCTGGGCTTTGGGTCCTCCAGCGCTTGCCTCGGTGCTCTGGAGGGGTGGGTCTTTGTCTATTCACAACCACTATTGAGCATCATAACTTTACAGGCACAAGTGCACTCTCACATACAACTACAGGTTGCTTTGCTCCAGGTACTTAGAGATTCACTTCCATACAGAAAGCCCATATTCTTATATTCAGCTACCACAGTATACATATCAGATTAAATAGTACTACTTATACTTCAGCGATACTATTAAGGTGTTACTTTATTGTATCCCTTTTCCTATATCCGTTGGTTGTGCTGTTCTTTTTACATCTCTTTTCCGGTGATAAGGCAGACTGAATACGTTTTATCATTGTCTCCCTTCTACCTCCTCTTTCTTTCATCTTTTCTCCTTTTTTCAGTTTTTTTAATTCCTGTTCTACTTACATTGCAGTGTCCATATAATCTGCAATACTCCCTGCATGAATTATAATAAAGCTATTTACATTCATAAATCAAGGGGAACACTATGGCGATAGCCGTACTGCTCCACTTGTGAAAGTAAAATCTGTTGGGCTCTTTTTTGGCATCAAGACAATTATTCTTATTGCCACATTGCCAGACAGGACAGTTTTGGTTTTTAAACAGAGTTATCATAAAAAACAACTTTATTCTCATAAGGTTATGACTCTATTCTCGTATTTAAAAAAATAAATCTAATACTCCGGCGTAGAAAACAGTAAAAACACGCCTTATGCTGGCAGCTCTTATAGTTCTAGCCCTGCGCTATCCTCCAATCTACTTTATCTGATCCCTCATTTCAGTCCCACATCAAATCTGTTTATTTTCCTCCATGAAGATCAAACACAATTATCTAAAGTGGAAGTATGCATTAGAGTACTTCTGGTATTTTATCAGTGACTTTATAGATATTTCTCTAGAATATGATCTATAATTGTCATGTTTGGTTTTGTTGCAATAACAATATATTTAGATTTGCATAAAAGTATATTTGTTTACCCTGAACCAGATCCAGCCATGGATCAGTAAGCGTACTTCCAGAGCAGAATAGGAACAAAGATCCGCCATCAAACGCAGACTGAAATTTTACATCAATGTAAGGTTGAACCGAAACACTGGAATAAAGTGAAGATGTACCAGAGCAGGCTCCACCAGCCGTCCAGGAGGAAGAGAAGCTCGGTTCATTCTGGCGATCCGCTGCAGCGTTTTAACGGCAGCATCAACGTTTCCAGCAGACACGTTGTACCGAGCAGACTCAGGAATAAACTGTGATAAACGAAGCATCAGTTCCAGCAGCGGCATCGTGTTTTCTCTCCTACAAATACACAAACACCGGCTACACAGACATGAAGCAGATTCTGCACCTTAAAGAGGAAGATGAGGATGATGCTGGGAGTGATGGAGAGCCGGATCATCCACCTCCAGCCCATAGTGGGAACCACCAGCATCCCGAGGAGGATGATCAGTATGGAGCCGGTCATCCAGAAAATCTGGAAAACAAAGACTTCTATTTTTTTTTTTCTGTTTTTATTTCAGATCAAAAATGGACTTCAGGACTTACAGAACCCAGAGGCAGGAGGTAGGCCCGGTACTTGGCAGGGATGAACTCTGTCTTCAGCACAAACCTAAACGCCAAACAAAGCATGGATGTTCAGCCAATCGGAGCGCAGACCTTTCGGCTTACTGCTGCTAGGTGTGAGCTGACCCCTGTGACACCCCCGCCACGCCGCAGCCCACCATGCTGCGCAGGAAGATAAACCAGCCGTACGTCGGGGCGAACGATGTGAGCAGAGAGAAATACGAGCTCCACACGTAACCTCCAAACACCACCTGGGAAAAAAAAAAAAAAAAAAAAAAAACAGTACATAGAAAAAAGGAAGGAAGCTGCAGCTTTAATCTGCCGTTTCCTACCTTCCAGCGTCCATATCTGTCAGCAACATAACCGGCCAAGACTCCACAAACCATGAAGCCAACAAACACCATCTGAAAGGAAAATCCAGCCAGGAGGAGCCGATATAATTGTTTTGTTTCAAAACTATTTGTGCATTCTAAGTGTGAATTTGGATGTTTGTATTTGTAGAATGAAAAAAAATTTGCAAGTACAAATATTTTTTTTAAACCTGATCAAATTTTAAGTACAAGGACACAAATTCTGTTCTACTAGTTGCTCGTCAAAAACTTCTAACATTCTCAGTTTTGCTTGAAATGGTTCAGAACTTTTGTTGCAAAGCTATTTGTGCATTGTAACATTGGTGTTTTGTAACTGTAGACTTTTTTTAATCTGACAAAATACAAAAAGAAGTTACACCTCCAAAAAGTACTTGAGTACAAGTACACAAATTGTGTTCTGTGAGATGCACATCAATTAAAAAAAAAATAGTGCAAAACAAATTCAAACACATGTATTAAAATCTTCAAAAAAAAAAATTTTTTTGTCCTCAACACAAATACAAATCTACGGAAGAGGATTAGGGCCACTGAAAAAAAAAAAAGTTAACTGATTTTTGAATTTTATTTTTATTTTCAGTTTAACAGAATTCTGACTTTAATCTCAGAATTCCGACTTTAATCTCAGAATTTAATTTTTATTTTCAGTTTAACAGAATTCTGACTTTAATCTCAGAATTCTGACTTTAATCTCAGAATTTTATTTTTATTTTCAGTTTAATAGAATTCTGACTTTAATCTCAGAATTCTGACTTTAATCTCAGAATTTTATTTTTATTTTCAGTTTAAT